GTGGACCTCCTGAGGCTAAAAAGAAAGACCTACAAAGGATGGAGGATGGGATCCACCTCGAAGGAGGAATATTCTGCACTGGTCCGGTCCTGCAGGGAATGAACCAGGAAAGCCAAAGCTGTGACTGAACTCCACCTAGCTACAAGTATCAACGATAATAAAAAGTCCTTTTTTAGATATGTGGGGAGCTGGAGGAAAAAGGAAGGGCAACATTGGACCTCTGCTAAACCAGATGGGACAACTGACAACCGACGCCCAGGAAAAAGCCATCCTACTAAATGGGTACTTTGCGTCAGTCTTTCATCAGTCCCATGGGATGCTCTTGCCCATTACGGGACAGGGAGGCCCAGGTGAGGGAGATTTCTTGTCCTTCATCAATGCTGACCTTGTGAAGGAACACCTTGAGAGGCTGGACACCTTCAAGTCATCTGGCCCTGACAATCTACACCCCAGGGTACTCGAGGAGCTGGCGAGCATCATAGCCCAGCCCCTGGCACAGAATTTCGAAAACACCTGGCGCTCTGGTGTAGTGCCCAGAGGCTGGAAGAAGGCCAATGTGGTGCTGGAGGAAAGTGGATCCAGCAAACTACAGGCCCATCAGCCTGACCTCTATCCCAGGAAAGGTCTTAGAAAAGATTATCTAAGAGGCCATTCTTAACAGACTGGCCGATGGCAACATCCTGAGGGACAGCCAGCACAGGTTTGTTGCGGGTAGGTCTTGCTTGACCAATCTTATTTCCTTTTCCGACCAGGTGACCTAGCACCTGGACAAGGCAGAGGAGATTGATGTTGTATATCTTGACTTCAAAAAAGCCTTTGCTCTGATATCCCATGATCACCTCTTGGCAAAACTGGCCAACTGTGGCCTCGGGTCCACCATGATCTGCTGGCTGGGGAATTGGCTCCACAGTCAGACCCAGAAGGTGGTAAATGACGGAAGTCAATCATTGTGGTGCCCTCTGACCAGTGGGGTCCCTCAAGGCTCTGTCCTTGGACCCATATTATTCAACATCTTCCTTAATGATGTGGACACTGGAGTCAGAAGTGGACTGGCCAAGTTTGCCAATGACACCAAATTTTGGGGTAAAGCACCCACCCAAGGACAGGAGGGTGATCCAGGCTGACCTTGACACACTCAGGAAATGGGCTGATGAGAACATGATGGTGTTTAACACTGAAAAATGCAAGGTTCTCCACCTTGGGAGGAAAAACCTGCAGCACCCTGATAGGCTCGGCAGTGCTCCGCAGGCTAGCACTATGGATGAAAGGGACTTGGGGGTCATGATTGACCACAAGATGAATATGAGCCTTCAATATGATGCTGTGGCTAGTAAAGTGAGCAAAACGCTGGCTTGAATCCATAGATGCTTTTCAAGCAAATGCCAGGACATCATTCTCCCGTTGTACTCAGCCTTGGTGAGGTTGCAGCTGGAGTACTGCGTCCAGTTTTGGGCTCTACAATTCAAAAAGGATGTGGAGAAGCTTGAGAGAGTCCAGAGAGGGGCCAAGTGCATGATCAGGGATCAGGAAAACAGACATAACGACGACAGGCTGAGAGCTATGGGACTTTTCAGCCTGGAAAAGCGCAGGCTCAGGGGTGATCTGATGGCCACCTATAAGTTTATCAAGGGTGTTCACCAGGATCTAGGGGGAACTTTTGTTCACCAGAGCGCCCCAAGGGATGACAAGGTTGAATGGTTATAAACTCCTGCAAAACCGTTTCAGGTTGGACATAAGGAAGAATTTCTTTACTGTCTGAGCCCCCTAGGTCTGGAACAGCCTGCCACCGGAGGTGGTTCAAGCACCTACTTTGAATACCTTCAAGAGAAAATTGGATGTTTGTCTTGCTGGGATCCTATGGCCCCAGATGACTTCCTGCCCCTGGGGCAGGGGGCTGGACTTGATGATCTTCCCATTCAGCCATAATGTCTATGAAGTCCTGGGTTCAAATTCTTGAGGAGCCCAAGTTTTGGGTGTGTGTTGGTCTAGGGGTATGATTTATGCTTTTGTTGCAAGCGGTCCCAGGTTCAAATCCCAGACAAACAGATGCATGACAAAATAGCTCCAAGAAGGTGATACTTCCCATCTGTGTGGCATTCGTCAGACCACAGTTGGAGTGCTGCGTCCAGTTTTGGGTGCCACACTTCAAGAAGGATGTTGATACACGCAAGAAGGTCCAGAGGAGGGCCACTCATATCGTTATGGGCTTACAGGACAAACTCTATAAGGAGAGACTGAGGGACCTGGAGCAGATTTAGGTTAGATATCAGGAAAAACTTCTTCACAGTAAGGGTGGCCAAAATCTGGAATGGGCTTCCAAGGGAGGTGCTGCTCTCCACTACCTCGGGGGTCTCTAAGAGAAGGCTGGATAAGCATCTGGCTGGGGTCATCTGACCCTAGCGCTTTCCTGCCTAGGAAGGGGTTCAGACTCGATGATCTGTTGACATCCCTTCTGACCCTAGCATCCGTGAATCTATGAAATCCCTTCCCAGTTCCCACCCCAGATCTTCTTCCAAATTGACAGCTGGCCCCTTCCCCGTCCATGTGTCACTGTGTGAGCCTGAGTGCAAATGGCAGAGGGGCAGTTAGGTGTGATGTAAAGAAGAACTTCCTAAGCCCAAAGGTGGTCCAGCTTTCTGCAAAGGGAAACGGGGAATGTATCCTTGCAGCTCCACTCTGCACCACCACCATGCCCTCATTAATTCACCTTCCCTTCTGACCTCTGGTATCTCCTCTGGTGAAAGCCCACCTCCCCTTCCTTCTGCAAGTGTTTCTGACCCCCGGCACACACAAGCCAGGTTTCACCCTCTGTGGAGTTGCAGCTACTGGAGCAACTACTGTCATGGTGTGAGACAAGGGTGCAATGCAGCAAACTGTCCCACCCACCTACCCACCCTGGTTGGAGGAGTCTGCATGCTGCATGGCCCTCCACAGCCCGAGGTACGGCAGAGAGGAGCCATGTGGGGCACAGACCTCCCTCCTTTGGTGCCCTGTGGCACTTGACTGACCAGATAGGATCGAATGGCAGGCCAGATAAGGCCCGCAGGCCATTTTTTCCCTTCCCTGCTCTATTGTATTGTCACATCATCCTTTCCCATCCTTAGCCAAAGAAGGGAGCAACCTGAACCCAGAGCTTCACTCAGAGGATAATGGCCTTGGTCTTCCTGCTTTCAACCCCTCATATACAATTGCTGGAATCCAGAACAGCTCCAGGCAGTGCAGGGCTGCTGGGGAGCGGGAGGAATGGGCTCCACTTCCCGGCATGGTTGAACTGTTAACTCTTGACACGCAAGTTCTCTTCTCGAACCCAGCACAGGAAACTCTGGTTCTGTCTGGGACAGGAGTATTGGCTCTGTTTCTATCCCTAAACACAAACAGGTCAGTCCCGATCTTTTCTCAAGGGCACGCTGGGATCTCTTGAGGCTGCAGCATGTCCTCCCTCTGGGACCCAGTCTCCCCAGGTGTGGATGACTTACTCCTCTGCAACCTGTGGAAACCAGCAAGGGCGCTTTCCCTTAGTCAGGCAAGAACCCCAGGTCCAGCCCCCCTGGTTCCTGCTAAGACCTGTCATAATCCCTGTTTCCCAAGGGAAAGCTCTTGCTCATTCTGTGTCTGGGTGCTTGGATAGGTAATTTTGCAGGGCATGAAGCTACTGCCATTTTCAGCAGCAGGGACTGAAGTGACAGGGAAAGGATGAAAACAAGGGGAGGCCACATTTATATAGTTACTCAGGCCCATATTGTTCCAAAATCTTACATGGGATTACAGAAGCAGGGGGAGCCTTCTAAAGGAGTTTGGTCTGACCTGATAGGAATGAATCAGCAGTAGCATAACCAGAGAAGGGGCAGAGGACACCAGCCCTGGGTGAGTGCAAATCTCACAGCAGACTGATTTATTGCAGCAAATAATCTGCAATTTCCAGGAGATCTACTTACTAGCCCAGCACAGGCAACAGCTGCTGGACAGGGGAGCCCCCTCTCAGAGACCTCCATAGGAGTCTACTATTTTTAAGGGCTTCAGCCCAGTGTTGCTGTCCTCACTGCTCCATTGGGCTTCACCACCATCATTCTCTCAACCACTATCAAGTCTTTGCTGTTGCTTGTCACTGTTCTTCACTGCTGCTCTGCCACTGTTACTCATCTTCTCTTCATCACTGCTACAAGATGCTCAACACAGCCACTGCTTCACTGGTTGCATAGATTTTTCACAGACCACTGAAATGCAGCTTATATGGTGTGGATGCTCTTTTAGGGGAGAGTTCATAGTATATGGGATCATGACTGAGTCCTTGCAGGCCTAGGGATATGCTCCTGGATGAAGTCTCTGTCCTATCTCCTTCCCAATGGAAGGATCAGTGGAATACAAACCCCAGCCTGATCTTTACCACTGTAACGGAAATCTGCTGGATGGAGTCATCTTTCGCAACTGGCCTTGCCCTGGGCTCACTCCCCCAGCACCCTGAAGCTCTGGTACAGACGATCAATGACCTCAAGCACACAGAGCCCACTTCATTTATCCACCCATTTTCAAAACTGACTGACTGACATCAACCCTGCATGTCCAAGGGTGCCAGGGATTGCTTGCTTTCAGCTCTGCCCCACTCCCCCATTCTTGTTTGCATGAAACAAATCTAGAAGCAGTGAGACTGCACTAGAGACACTCCTCCACCTCTTCCTCCCCCTACCCCGCACATGACTGCTCTAGAGGTTTGCCTGCATCATTCATGGGGGCCATCCCTGGGATGGATTCACTGCGGCTTTTCTATGTTTGAAGCCTGTGAGCAGGAACTGGTGGGCAGGTTATGTCCTAGGGCGCTGTCCTGAGAACACGGAGTTGACATACCCACCATGTTTTAACCACCCAAACGCCGTATTAATGATATTTTAATAACACTCCTCAAACCATTACATATAGATACATAAATTGAATGTAGAGGAGACCAAAACCCTCTAGCCAAGCTTGCACAACTGATTATGAGATCTACAAGGAGGAAGAAAATTCACTCTGTCAGTTTAAATAGTGGTGGCATGAGACCCCAAACCCTTTACTTCCTGTGACACATTTTCCCATTCTCCTGACCCTGCCCACTGATGTCCTCTCTCCCAACCTCACCTTCATTCCCAGTCAAATCCTCCTTCATTCCAGTTTTGATGTCTCCTAGGAGGAAAGCCAGGCTTCTGTAAGGCATGGCCAGAGGTCATCGAGGAAAAATCCACAGCACCGAACCCAGAAATCCAACTCTCAGTCATGCCTCTACAAATGTCTTCTCTAGGCTGTTGATTGGCTGCTCTGCATGCCTCTATAGGAAAAAAAATAGCATACAACATGTAACATATAGCCCCCTATACCTTTATTTCTCTGTCAAGAAGCCCAGAACAACACAGATAATGTTTTCGTTGCACTGAATATGAAGAGGCTGGCTACTGAAGAAGGAGGCATTTTTTCAGTGGAAGAAAATGTGAAAGTAAAGATGGGATTTCTGTGGGGATGGTCATAAAATTCAACTATCCGTGCATCAAAATCCAGATAAACTCAAATTTTACTAGGATGATTATTTATGCTCAGTTGGGTTTTAGGAGGTGTGAGAGCCCAGCATTGACCGAATTCCCACTGCAAAGCCCATATGCCATCTGGTGTGAGGCTCATCCCTCCCTCATATATCTCTTTGACAGTGCCCAGAATCCATTTACTTCTGTTTCTCACAGCCACCTCCCCTTTAATGTCTCCTTGAGGTGAACCCTGCAGAGTTCAGCCTGCCAGGAGTTGAATGCTATTGGCTGAAACACATGCCAGTGTGAAATGGGAATTTGCTCAGGATCCAGACACGTTGCAAGGCGGGAAAGAGACAGACAGATAGATAGATAGATAGATAGATAGATAGATAGATAGATAGTTTTAGGGCTTGTCTTCACTGTAGAGGTAATTTGGGCTCTTAGGGATAAATCGTTTCTCACAGCTAAGTGGGTGAATGCATAACCAGAGTTTTTTGGCACTTCCTCACAGTTTGCAGTTCAGCTCCGCATGTGCAAGCCCACACAGACCAAACAGCATGCTTAGTAGGGCGGTGCTCTAGCTGGGCAACTGCCCATTGAAATAGGCTCACTCAGGTATACATATAAGTCCAGGTAAATCTTAACATCTTAAAATGCAGAAAAGCTGTGACTCCTGGGCATTAGACACCACAGGAGGAAGGCCTTTTACTTTTTAGCTCAACAGCCTGATAGAGCAACTCTCCAGGCAATGGTAGACCTAGGTTTTAGGTCCCACTCGCCTAGAAGGGGGTTGAACCTATAGCTTCTGTGTCCCTACAAAGTGGTTTAATCCTTAGACAACATATTAGGCATTGACCAGACTGCTCTCCAGCCCACCACCTGAGGCAGGCCCGTTGGGCATCCAAAAGAGGAAGTTATATAGTGTGTGATGGCCAGAACCAGAGGGATTAATAAGCAATAAATATGTGCTTCTTGGAGGCATTTGGTATTTTGCCTAAACAGGTAATATTAGCTAATATAAAGCTTGTAAGTTCATAACCCGCAAATGTAACTTGTTTGTCATAAGTTTAACCAAAATGATACATTAACTGTTCGTGGAACTGACTAGCGAAGGTGAAGCTGTAGCTGCAAGATTAGCTGACCTAACGGTTTTTGCTCAGGGTTCAGCCTTGATGATAAAACTGGATCCAATCGCCTGGCACACCCAACACATTCCAGGAAAGCAAATCCCAAGAAAGCATATTGAGAGAAACCTAAAAGGGGTTGGGCTTAGACAGAGCAATGTCAATTTCAAACCTAAAGGTACTGCATTGTAATTTGCTTATTGGATAAACCTGGGTCTGGGTAGTAACCTTTTATGATACTTTTTAACGCCTTTCAATCCCATAAGGAAACAGCTATAGGGTAACATTGTGAGTGGCTCTAAAACCAACAGATTAGCATAAGACTAGGTAGAAAAAGTGCATGCATCAGGTGACCAGCAGGAAGGAGGGAACAGAACGGTCATTTCTGTTCCATGCCCAGACCCCGGACTCCCGGTGTGAGTGAGGATCGGATCCTGATCAAGCCATCTTCCCCGATAATCCCTCCAACAGTGTTGCTTGGGGACGCCTGACTTCGCTGGAATCACCTGGCATGCACCTGGCATTGAGGGACTATCGATAAGTTGCCAACCTGTGTTTGTCTATTTGTTGTTTTAAACAGCCCAGTGGCTGATATCCTCGCAGTGCCCAGTTGGCCTGCGACAGATTGATCCATCTATCTGTTGTTATCATCTGTTGCTATTATTTACTATCAGCTCTTTAATACTGCATTATCTGTTTATCGCATTTATCTTTCTGTTAACTGTTGTATGTGTGTAAGCTATAATAAATTTGCCTTTGCTTTACTCCCAACTCTGCCTCCTCCATCCCAAACCAAACAGCCCACTGGCTGATACAGTTGCAGCACCCAGTAAGCCTACAACTAAATTGATACACTCACAGTGCCCAGCTGGCCTGTGACAAAATTGGCGCCACAACAGGATCGAGGATGGAAGACAAGCTAGAAGATATCTCTGAATGGGAGTGAACCCTTGCTTCCCATGGGGCAGAAATCTTCCCAGTACTTTTTATCTAGTGAGTAGCAAATGCAAGGTGCACTGAGCCAGCTTCAAACAGGGGGGATGGAAAAGGCTTTAGGCAAGGCCCAAACTATAACCTGCTGGTTAAGGCATTTGGCTAGGAAGTGATAGATGTGCATAGTAAGTGGCAGATGTGCATACAAGCCTGCTTTGTGGCTAGAACCTGGATCTTCCAATCCCTGGGTACATGGCCTAAGTACCAGGCTATTGGGCTAAAATATATAGGACACTTATACACATGCAGTGAGGTTGCTCTGATGCAAGTCAAAACAGACTCAGTTAATCAAGTCTGTGATTACCATGCTCCAGCAGACTCCAGTGTCACGTGTATTAGTATTCCTGCAATGAAAAATGGTGGCGGGGGTGCTTTAACTAAAACACAATCAAAGAGCTTTAGACAAAGCACCTCTGCCACCATTTTTCAGCCTAGAGACGCTGATACGTGTGATGTTCCAGACGCTTTAATTACAGCAGTTCTTGGAGCTGCTCTAATTAAAACACCCCTCCTCCAGTCCAGGAGCACATGTATAAATAGAGGCTCTCCTCTTCCTCCTATATTTTACTTCTGGTTCATATATGCTCAGGGCAATTCTGTTTTGCCACAGGGTGAAACAGAAACCTGTCTGTGTATTAGGTGCCAAAAATAGCAATTATATGGCTGTGTACAAGTTATTTACAAGTGAAATAGAAATAAGCCCTTATTCAGCTATTGCCCCCGATGCCCTCTGCTATTCTCATTCAAAAGTCCCCTCACCTCTGTTAGGATTGGGCTCATGAAAGAGCTTTAGCATCAGTAGTGTAGATAGAAATGGAGGTTTGGGTGGACCTCAGCTTCCAGTGGAGAGTTAGGAAAGAACTGCACTACCCTCCGTGTGCCTAACAGAATCCTGCATCTCTCTGACTTCCCAGCAGTGCTATCATCAACCCACAGGTTACATCATTCAGGCCCTTCTCCATTACTCCTTTTGAGGCTGAGCTATTGTATCTTGTATCTAATAATCATTACAAAGCTTAGCTTTTTAAAGTTAATCTCATGTTTTCTGGGGCCTCCCTCACTATTTGAGTATCTGTACTATGCAGGAGACCCAATGAGATGACTGAATAGTCACTTGTGGCCTTAAACTCATGCAGAAATGAATCTGTTTTGGCGACATTCTTTCTCGTGGAACTCAGAAGCTGCTTCTAAAAAAAATGGGTCATAGTGCTTTTCATCACAATAATTCCTTTGTTCCCTCTTCCTGAAGAAAATATAATTGTAAAAACTTACCATTGCTTGTTGGAGGAGACAAGGACTGTGAAGGGAAACATCTAATTCCCTCTCTCAGCTCAAAGGGAAGAGTTTCTTGAGGAAGAAGAGATTAGTGAAAAATATG